GACGTGCACGTCGGCGCCGACGTCGAGATGCCCGCCGCCGGCAACCGCAACGGCAAGGTCGACCCGGCCAAGCTCGCCAACTGATGACCTCAGCGCGTCGGTCGCTGACATCGTTCGCAAATAAGCTACCATTAAAAAAAATCTTATATTTCTTTTTTCTCATTTTTCTGTATTATACCCCAATTGTCTTAGTACTAGGACGACGACGAAAAAGCAGTCACTAGTCTCTCTTTCGTTTTCTTTTCATTTTTAAAGTTCCGGTTTAATTTATCTGTGCCGGATACTCTACTTGGGGATTGTTTTGGATCAAGTATGAATATAAATGCAAGTTTCAAGAACGTTGCTCTATGAGTTCGTGCCGGCTGTATTAATTCAAGAACAATGCATTTGATCAATCGATCGAACTCACATTATCATAAGCAAACTTCGTTTTCTTGACGAAGAACAGTAGTATGAACGTCAGTGCCTGTGGACAATCAGCACAAAACACGTCCACGCCACACCGCACAATCACAAAGCGGCATCAAACAGTATTCTGGCTGTGTTTTTTCTCTTCCGCTTCCACCGGCGTTCGTGATGATGAGCAGCGGATCACGTGGAATCCGCGGGTTTTTCCAGCCACATTTCGCGTAATAATCCTTCGTTGCCGCGCGCATCAACGTCGTGGTGTACTGGTGTCGTCGCCGAGGATCGTCGCGCGCGGGCGGCCAGGGTGCCGCGCTCGCACGGCATTTTTCGGCCCGTGCCACGCCAACTTTATAGCCCGTTTACGCATTATCCACTCCATCAGCTGGCGCTGCTGCTATGCATTTGTTTGTGATGCTTTCTTCCAGAACATGTCTGCCAGCTTGTGGTTGCAAAGGCGTACCGGAGATCCACAAAAAGGGAAGGTCGTGTACCCGTGTACCGTGCACGATCTTTGAGTAGATTGTAGAATAGTTTCCCGTAGATTGTAAACGATAATAAAAAGTTCACTACACCTGTCTGATCGTTTTGATTATAAGCTAAACGGCTTATTAATGATTAAAATATAATTTACTAGTAAAACTTTTATAAATATGTTATTAAGCTATTTAAAAGCAAACGATGAAAAATAAACCACGATAAGAAAACTTCAAGATCAACTCAAAATTTAAGTTTTGAAACTAAATTTTCTGTTTATGCTTATAAACTGAAGGTTAAAGTATGAAGCTGGCTGCGACAAACTTCTTAGCTCATTAGAGGGATAAACACTTATTATTAAACAGTGTGCAAGCTGTAGAGTCATTCTTTAACAAAACCTTTCTGTATGTTCTTATCCACTACTGTATAATAGCTCAATAGGGGCAGGCACACATCACAGAAACCGGGAGCAAGAAGAGCGTGTGGGAAGTAACTAAAAGAAGGCAGTAGGCACACTTGAACAGTGCAATTCGTACGAGGAGACTCGTGTGAAGAAGGCCAAAAACCTCCTTTTCCACCAAAAGGGATGCTGCATATCACACTGTCACTACTCGTCTTATCCATGGCTGATTCGACACGATCCGGGCCCCAAAATCTCTCTCACGTGTTCGCATCCGCGAAAAGCAAGACAGATCAAAGAAAAGCCCGGACGATTAAGGCCATGCAACGCAAGCCACCAACCCAAAACATTGTGCATTTGTGCAGTAGCAGCAGCTGGTTGAGTACTATTCTCTACTGTAGCGAGCATTGTGCAATCACGAGAAGGAAAAGGGCTCGATCGATCCGGATGGATTAGCGCAAATTAATTGCGCGCGGCTGCGAATGCGTGACGCCAATCCAAAGCAAAAGGAAGAAAGAAAGAAAGAAAGAAGAGACAGGTGGTGGGTTGTTGTGGGTGTGATCCGGATTAATTTGTGGATAAACCTCGTGTTTTTTCTCTCCGGCCGACGTGTAAAGTGAAGTTCCCGTAATTAATTAATGCCGCGCCCGCCGGAGATTTGGATTTGGGTTTAGATTTTGTAGGCTGCGAGTGCTTTGACTTGGAGAATTTTGACCCACAGGTTTTGGATTTGGTTACACGTGACAGGCCCCGATTCGGAGCGACCGACCACGCATTCCGTCGCACGGTACGTTTCAACATCGATCGATCACGGCTGCGTTATCCACAAATCCACACACCAAATCTATGTTTTTTTTCTATACAATACGATGAATTACGTCAGGAAAAGAAAATGGAAAGATACGATGAAACCTCTCGATCAGTCGGGCGCCTTAGCTTTGTCCTTTCGGTGTATGCATGCATGCTTGGCCCGTTGGCCTGAAGGCTGAAGCTTGAGCTTCCCTGCAGCGTAGGATAACTACAGTGTTCGAAATATGGATCACCAACCTCTACGGTGAACTACTGTAAGTTTAAAAACGATCAAGGAGGTCATGTGAATCAGCGTGAAACGCCTAATTAATCCGTCGATTTTTCTCGGTGGATTATCGAAACGGAAACTCAATAATGAACCCACAGTTTACCGCTTTTCCAGCAGCAGGCAGAACGACGAAAATATACGATGTGGGCTGCATGCGGATTAATCTGGTGCGATAATCACGAGGATCTGACGACGACGTCGAGATCGGGGGAACACGTACGTGTACGCGGAGGAAATGGCCGGCGTACTTCGAAGGATGCTGCCGTGTGCGCGGTGACTCAGACGGCTGGAGCTGTATAAGCTGGCATGCACGATTGCACGGCGCGAGTGGAGCCACGCGCGGCGGTGGCGGTTGGGCGTTGCCGCCGCCGACGCGGGTCAATCGGGTAGTTGGGTTTTGACCGGGAGTGGCCGATCGGGTCGGCGTCGTCCACGCACGCAGAACAGCGGAACACAAATCGGTGGCACGCGGGCCCTCAAAGTCGCACGCTGCTCCCCTCCACGGCCCATGGGAGTAGCGGATTCGTATGAAACTTCCGTATTGTTCGCCCAGGCCCGCGCAGCTCTCGGCTACCCGAGAACACATGGGCCGACACAATAGCTGAACGGGTTGTCTATGGGAGGAAGTCCATGTTTACTCGCTTAAATATATTCAAATCTAATTTATATCCCTTAACCGTAAAACCAGATATAACATGACTCCAACTATCAAAACCGGTGAAAAATAACTCTCTCAATGGTTTTAAGGGTGGTTTTTTAATGATGTGGCTCGTTGAACTAGTCTAACAGTCTGACTCAGTATATGAACCTCACATGTCATCCTCTTTCCTCTCTCCTTTTCCTCTTCCCCCTTCCTGGTCGACACCTCTCGTCTTCTTCTCCACAGCAGCGGCGCGCGGGACGATGACACAGAGCAACGGTGGCACGTACAGGATGATGAGGGGGAGCGGCTGGCGGCAAGCACTCACTGCGTGAGCAAGATCCTTGCCAAAGCGAGCGGCGCTGACCACTCGAGGAGGAGAAGGCGCGGAGAGCTCAGTGCTGGTGAGTATGAGGCGAGAGAGATGATGGCACTTGGATTGGGAGGCGAGAAGGAGGTGCAGGTGGACGACGCGGGTGGAGAAGATCTAGTTGCAATGCCGCCCCGCAGGCACAAGCATCGCCACCGTGCATAGGGCCAGTGGGGCGGAGTGGGGAGGGGAGTGGTCAAGAACCGCCAAGCGGAGGAACTCCTAGTTGCCATGAACGTACGGATTGGAGGTGTGGTTGAAGAGCCGCAAAGTGGCCGGCGAGTCCTCTTGACGCCAGTGAAGAGAGGGAGCTCAAGGAGAGGCCGACGTCAAAGGACCAAGCACAACGAGCTCCCCTGCACCAACCTGCTCTCCACTCCACTCCTATCATTCCGCTTCTCCACTCCTCCTCCGCCGTCACCTCCTCCCTACAATTGCCTCTTGCTCATATGCTCTCCCTAGTCACCCCCACCTCTTCCACTCCCTCGCCGTCTACACGCTCCTACACCTGGCTGTCCTCAACGTGTCAAAGAACACGCTCGCCAGCACACTCCCACCCAGCCTCGCTACCTAGATCCCCACCTCCATCTGCACGACCCTGCGTCCATATTGGGTTGCCTCTGACAGGCACCTCCCTCGAGCCCCTCCGTCGAGCGGCCATCTGTTGCCACTCGCCGCTGCCCTCTCCTTCACCTCCTGCCTCAACGCCGCCTGTCGCCGATGCCTTGTTGTGTAGGGAAGAAATAATGGATAAGAGAAGGAGAGGGAGGGGATGATGACATGTGAGGCCCACTTTACTTTATTTTATTTTATTTTATTGATGATTAGGCTGCCAGGAGTCATGATGCACAGTTTTAACAGTTGGAGGATACATTATACCCGGTTTTGTAGTTGAGGGATACGAATTATATTTGACCAATATTGAGGGAGACACAGTGGACTTTTCCATGTCTGTGGGCAGGAACCGGATTGCAAACCTACGTGCGGGCTGGATACCGTGAGGCCCATACCGTGCATCGTGTTATAGCGGCCGAGAACGGCCCAGTATGGCATACCGGACCAGGCAGCATATCTCGTTACACTCGGCCGGCCTTTCGGCCCAGTTGCCAGGCTCACGGACGTGTCTGCAGGTAGGCACCGACAGAGATACAGTAGGATATTCAGATAGCACGTCTCTGTACTGTCAGCTGCACGGCCGCAGTCGCCACCGCTCGCAAATGTGATCGGCTGATCGCCCACGAAATCCAAGCTTGATGCGACACTGATCGATCGCCTGAGCAGTCAGGAGGACTATCGATCGATATATCACAGGAACCACACAGCATCGTTTGGATTAATCACCGAACCGATCGACCAGTCCCCGAGCGACACCGTTCTCAACGAACCGAAAATTCTCCCGGGCGTCTCCACTTCGTGCTGGCAGAATACACCGTACCAAATGATCAACGGATTCCAGTTTGCAGCAGGCAAGCAAAAGGGCAAGCAGAAGTGCGCCCTTTACCCAATTGCATTATGCGATTATTCTTTTGCCAAAGAAGAAGAAGCCAACATGATCTAGCATCGTGCGGTGCATTATTAGAGCAACGCGCGTCGTCGGCCACCGATCGCACTGGAGGACAGCTAAAACAAAAGAAGAACTATAATGCAAAGTCAAGAACAAACGAAGTAGATAAATCTGTAGCTAGGTTAGCACACACATGGCCTGAGGCCGGAGAGAGGCGTGGCGAAGGTAGATTAGATGTGCGAGTAGAGGAGAGGTTGCGTGCTGTCCCAGGCTGGTATCCTGTTGCCGTCTCCACCGCCACGTTCCTCCTCACCTTTCACCCACCCACCACCACACCACAGCTACTTACCTTGCCCGCCACACACTACACCAGCTTAGCTAGCTAGCTCGCTCGCTACCTCCTCCTTGGTTCATTCCCTTCACGGCTAAGTTCCCAGATAGCCAGCAGCGATCGTAGTGTGTCGCAACATGGCGCCGCGGCTGTTGTCGTGTTTTGGCAGGGGCAGCGCGACGGCGTCGGCGCCGGATCAGCCGGAGGAGGCGGCGGCGGCGGCCGCGCCGGGGCCGGTGCTGCTGGAGCTGTTCTGCTCGCAGGGGTGCGGGGCGTCGCCGGAGGCGGACGCGGTGGCGGCGCGGATGGTGCACGAGGACCAGCAGCGGGCGGCGGCGGGCGAGGGAGGCGGCGGGGAGCGCGGCGTGGTGGTGCTGGGCTTCCACGTCGACTACTGGGACTACCGCGGGTGGAAGGACCCGTTCGCGTCCAGCGCGTGGACGGTGCGGCAGAAGGCGTACGTGGAGGCGCTCCGGCTCGACACGCTGTTCACGCCGCAGGCCGTCGTGCAGGGCCGCGCCCACTGCGTCGGCACCGAGCAGGACGCCCTCGCCCAGGCCGTCCGCGACGCGCCCCGCTACCCCGCCCCCGCCATGAAGGTACGCACCATCAAGCCATAACTAGCCGATTGCATCATGCATGCGCGCCGCTGTTGACGCGCCAAGAACGCCGCCGAGATATTGCACCGTTGCATTGCACGATCGATGCCATGGATCAATGCAAATGCGGCGTGCTATTTGTCGTCGTCCAAGACTCCAAGGTAAAGCGCCTACAGGTGAACAGCATGTCGTGGTGCTGCAACTCTGGCTGTTGGATGGCCCAGTGTTTAATTGGTTCGACAAAAAGGAGGTCAAAAGTTGGCCGTACAACTGCGTGCATGTGATAGATGCATCATTGGATCTGATCTGTTCTGGAATCTGGCCGATCGATCCAGGATGATTCCGATCGATGTTAACGGCACTTCCATTTAACTGTGGAGTAGATCTCATCGGTACTAATTCAGATCAGCATTGATTTATTTTTTTTATCTCGCATGTGCAACCCACAGCTTACTTGATTAGGATTGTCCAGATGGAATGTCACGGTCAGATTAACGTATCCTGCACGAGTTAAAATAGAAGTAATTAAAATCTTTGGATAAGCAGCAAGCAATTAAGCTCATCTTTGTGATCTGATCTGCATCTTGCACCGATAATGGCACTGTGTGCAGGTGACGTTCCAGCGGCCGAACCCGAGCACGCTGCAGGCGTCGTTCACGGGGACGCTGCGGAGCCGGATGGAGGGCGGCGGGAGCGTGTTGGTGGCGCTGTACGAGAGCGGGCTGGTGACGGACTGCGGGCGCGGCGAGAACAAGGGGAAGTCGCTGCTCAACGACCACGTGGTGCGGCGGCTGGAGAAGGTGGCCGCCGTGCGCGACGGCGCGTCGGCGAAGAAGTCCGTGTCCGGGTCCGTGCAGTTCCCGCTCTGGGACGGCTTCCGCGCCTCCCGCTGCGGCCTCGTCCTCTTCGTCCAGAACGCCGCGCTGCAGGTGCTCGGCGTCCAGCACTTCGACCTGCCCGACAACGTGTGACTACTCGCGGTCGGTCGGTCGAGGCTTGCGCCTGCGTGTGTAGACGTGTGCCGTGTAATGTACTACTAGTAAATATTCTTTGTAGAGTACACGTTTGATTATTGATCGACGCGTTTGTATTGTTGTTGATTTGTTGGGGGTACGAGACTAGACGAGAGTGGGGAGATGGGTAATTGGAGACATTATTAATTCAGACATTGCAGCAGCCTTGCAGATGAGATCAACGCTTTTGTATGCCGTATTTGTTCGTGAGTTTGTGTACTCTTCTGCCCTTTGATCCTTTTTTAGGGCTGTTAATCTGTTATCTGTTACAGTATTAATGCTTCTGCGCTAACCGTTACACGTGTGCCTGGTGTGGCCGGCAAGAGGGCGTGGGTTATGGCCTTGTGGGCCGAAGCGGATATAAAGATTATGTGTGCCCGGTAATAGAATGTGGGCCGTGACTAAAAAGTATTTGGCGCAAAATTGAGCAACAGCAGCCGATGGAATAAGTCCACTATGACTTCCTCAATTATAGGTCCAACAATCAAATTCTTATCCTGAACCGTAATACTGGATATCTCTAACCTCCCCCCCCAACTATAAAAACAATTGACTCCAAACAAAATGGTTTTTTAGTGGCGTCCACGTGGCAGCCCAGGAAAATTAAAAATAGATATGGACCTGCATGTAAGTGAGAAGGAAAAAAAATGATGTGGGGCTCACGTGTCAGCCCCCACTCTTATTCTCCCCTCTCTCCTCCTTTCTTTCACACCTGAGGCGGCGAGCGCAACACCCCTTCGACGGGCAGTGCAAGCCCGCTCGCTGCCCTCCCCTAGGAGGCGAGTGGTGGCGATGGAGGAAGCCAAAGAGGCAATCGCTGCCACTTGGGTCACATCGTCTATCACCAAAGTACGCTGCCTTGTGGCATGAAGGAGAGGCATCACATCACAGCAGCGCGAGGTGACCAATCCAACGGTGCACTCCCAGCCCGTGTCGCTGTAGGCAAGCGGTGGCAATAGGCAGCCACCAATTGTGTTGCACTCCCCAACCCCGAACGATGCGGCGGTGTCAGAGGGGAAGCTGCCGATGGTACCGTGCTCCTGAACCCTGCTCAACCTGTCAAGCGCTGCAGCGACAGCGGTGTACAAGCAACTCTCATTGTCGCTGGGGCAACCGGCAATCCGCAAGTGCATCTCCCTTCATTATACCCCTAGATCCCCTCAGTGGCGGTGGCGGCATCCTCCGTCCACCACATGTGGCTGCTTTCGCGCCACCGCTTTACCTCGAGCCTCGAGGCCATGCCGCTTCTATACATCAGGTCCGCGGTCTGCCCTACCACCATGCCAAACACCTTATCGGGGTTGCCCAGCTCCTTGCTCTGCCTTGGGCCATGCTACCATTGTCTGGTTAGAACCACTATACGCGTGTGAGGGAAAGGAGAGGAAGAAAAAAAAGGGAGAAGAATAAAGAGAAGCTGACATATGGGCCTCACATGCTGACTTGTTAGGTTGGACCAGGTCAACGAACTACGTTAGTGAAAACCGCTGAGGGAGTCAAATTGCGCTGGTTTTAATAGTTGGGGAAATCGGTTCAGGGATATGAATCAGATTGGACATATATTTGTGGGAGTCAAAACAAACTTATTCCACAGCTGGATGCTAAAGACAGATTTTGTTCAGCGCTGTAAAGATGGGCTCCTTCTCTGCACAAGCGGAGAGCCGAATTACCTCAGCCAATTGATCCCCTGCGGCCCTGACTGAACCCACACAGCTCAAACGTACGTACAGGACTGTGTGGGTCAGCGTGCTCAAATGATCTGGGCCTCGTCGACCTTTGCCCACAACGTGGGAGTACCAGCCGGCCGAATAGCCAATGATGACCCCCCTCTCCCCAACCGGAGAAAAAAACGTCGGGCGGGGCGGGACCCGTTGTCTCTGCCTCTGCCTGCGCCACCCGTCTTCGCCGGCGACCGCGATGGCCCGGCGCCACGTGAAGCCACGTGAACCGGGGCCAATCAACAGAGCGGCCGACGCGGGGGCCTTCCGGAGTTTGGACGAAGCGATTAACTTCTCTTTGGATCGACTCGTCGACAGTTCGACACCCCCCGTCCCGCTCCGGCCTCGCGTGCCATCGTGTATTCGTGTCGTCGGCTCCGGCTCCGGCGAGGTGGCTCCAAATTAACCAGCAAAGCGCGGAAAAGGATGGCAAGTTGAAAGGCGCCCCGCGACCCTGTGCGACTAGGTCAGGCCGGAGCCGGACCGCCTGAATTTCTGGAGTTCCGGAGATCGAATCTGATCTTGTACACCTACGGAAAGCTGCCGCAGGCTGCAAGAAATTGTGCAGCCTTTGCTCGAGCTCCGTTTTGTTCGTGTCATCGTGCAGTTTCGGGGAAGCGCTCTGGTTTTGGAGCATCCTGCTGGTTTCATGGTTTGCCAACAACTTGCAAGTTGTAAATCCAGTCAAAAAGAAATAAAGAGAACTTGCAAGTTGCAAGGCATGCCGCATGCAATTTCTTGTGCACGGGAGCATGAACACAAGTGATCATTGGATTCATTGCCTCACGGTCGAGTGCCGCACAGCCCAATGCCTATTTTGCATGCTTTTCGTAACAATCAAGAAAAAATATCAAGAAAAATAACTTGTGTTTGGATAATTGGATCATCCACTGAATAATTTTATCCATCATCCATGTAGCCTACTACATGGAGGTACATGGAGTAGTCTAGTGTAGTTTCCCAGATGATGAAATACTTTTTTTTTTCCTTTTCAATTGATTCCATGAAATATGTACAGGAATCACCATGACCGTGGCTGTACAATACAGCCACCAGCCTCAATCCCCACAATTTCCAGCCGTTAATTCCAAGTTTTCATCAACCAAAGCCCCCACATCTCAAAGCGCCTTCATGCTAGCTAACAACCCTACCCGGCTGCCCCCATGGGGCCCATCCCAGCCCGGCCCGGCCCGTTCAGCCGAGGCCCAAAGCCCGTTCGACCCGGCCCCCGCAATTGCCACTAGCTGGGCCCCCAGCAGCTGAGGTACATGGCCTTGCGGAGCGACTCGTCGGCGCCGGCCTGCCTCCGGCCGTCGGCGTCGGCGGCCGCCCGCGCGGCGGCGAGCGCGGCCGCCTGGGGCGCGAGCCCGGCCACCCGCTCCCGCGCCGCCGGCGCCCTCTCCCGCTGCGCCCGCACCGCGGCCACCGTGGCCGCCACCCACACCCGGCTCAGCTGCGCCATCTCTAATCACTATATCACTCACTCCCCCTCTTCTTCGCCTCTCCTCCGGCGCGGTGCTGCTTGCTACCGATGATGGGTTTCGGAGATGGGAGAATGGGGGAGGCGGGGCGGTATTTGTAGCGGGGAAGCGAAGGGGAGGTCGTTTCGGCCATTGCGGCTGATGGTTTTTGTGAGGCGGTTTTGCACTTTCGCTTTTTCGCTTTCTCCCCCACCTCCTCCTCTCAGCTGGGACCTGTACACATGTTTTCTCCCGCCATCTCGCCCTCCTTCTCGCGAGACGACGACGACGCAGAAACGGATCAGTTTATACTAGTAGTAGTACAGTTTAGCCAACTTTGACATCGAATTCTCGTGCCGATATTATCGTGGGAGGAGGAGAAAATGCGGCTACTGTGCTACAGCCTACAGGTGGCAGGGCTTATCCTGAGAAGGGGGGCAGTGGTGAGTCATCGCTTTCCGACGAGGGGCAGTTTGGGCACATCACGTCCACAGCCTCGTCGTCTTTCGGATTCCGTTACATCCACACTCCTTTGTCCACTTCTCCCCTGCTCTTTATTTTACGGTGTTCAAGAGGGGCAATTGTTGTTTGATGGCTGACACGGCATGGACGAGGTAATTTGTCCTGTTTCCTGACATGGCACCAATTATTGGTGTTGGGATCTGTGGGTTGGTTTAGTTTGTGGACTAAATAGCCTTTACTAATTTTTATCAATGCCAAATTTTGACAAGTTTTGACATGTCTAATTTTGGTAAGGTAAAGTTGTGTTTGGATTGAAGTCAAAATAGCCTAAGTTCACTATTGAAATGACATATTTTCTTAGGCATACTAAAATTTAGCTTCAAACCAAATACACACTAAACACTATTGAAAATACCAAATATTGGTAAGTCTAATTTAGGCTTTAAACCAAACTAGTCATGTATTTCACGGATTGTTTACTCTAGTTTGTTTGTGTCACTTTGAACCCCTGTTATATCACATTTTGGTTGCTCAGAGCAAGTTTAATAGTATAGCCACTACTAACTCCAATTCATCTATAACTAATTTAATAGCCAATTCATACAATAATTGCTTACTATACTATTAGTATATGGTCCCACCTGTTATACACACGTTGCGTCTTGGAGTCCGTGCTGCAGCTAGCTGTAGATCTATAGCCCGCTGCTTTTCTCTCTATTCTTTTATCTCATTAAAATATATTTGTAGCTGGCTAATAGTCTGCTATTGTACCTGCTCTTATAAGAAACTAAGGCGGGGTTTAGTTCTCAACTTTTTCTTCAAACTTCCAACTTTTTCATCACATCAAAACTTTCCTACACACACAAACTTCTAACTTTTCCATCACATCGTTCCAATTTCAATCAAACTTTTAATTTTAACGTGAACTAAACACACCCTAAATATACTGTTGTTATTGTCACCATGCTAAAGTTTGGTATTAGTTCAAAAAGTTTCCTCCCAAACTCAAAAAACATAAAAAAAAAGACTGTAACAAACACATCAATAATATTGAAATATGGTTAAGGGCTTTTCTGAAACACATGATTTTATTTTAGAAATACGGGATCAGAAAAAAAATTAGGAATGAGATGTCACATGTAAGAAAATCCTACAAGAATGCAAAATACATGAATTTGCAATGATGAGTTTGGATAACTCATGGGAAATTAGAGAGAAGAAGCATTGGACTTGTCAAAGAAAAAAAAAATCAAAATAGGGTTGGAGCGCGTGCGTAAAATCCCTTGGAATTGCTTATGGATTGCAATTCATAGGAATTTTCATATTTTCAATCCTATGTCCCAATCAACTTAGTTAGAAAATTTTTCTTTAGGATTTCAATCCTATGAAATCCCTATGAAAAATACTCCATTAATTCCAAAAGAGCCCTATGCCAAATGTGCCGAAATTTGGCTTAACAAATTTTAGGAAGTTGATTTGGGCAACAAATTAAACAAGCCCTCGGTTCCTATTTTGCTGAGCATTTTACTTCCTATATCAATATATGGAGAAACAAGTGTTATGCATAGTGTCTCCATGTTGAAAGGCAAATTAAAGCAAGGCATTTATTCTCCACTTAGCAACTCCTTTTCTTTTCTGCCCTAAGCACCTAAAGTGTATAAGTAGGTACTCTATAGAATAAACGTATGTCCTTGTAAAAGCCTTTCTGTCCTGATCTCCCTCTCTTGTCCACCTGAAAACCAACTTATACCATCCTGATAAGTACCTATAACTCTCTTCTTTTTTCTTTGGTGGCCCACTGTTGGCCACATCATTCTTTGCTAATGGACTATTGTTCCTGTAAGACCCATTTACCCATGGCTTAGCATGCATGTTCCTGTGAGTAATAAAATGCATTGAGATTCGTGTTCATTCTAATATTCTTATATCTTTATTTTTTTTTCTTATGTTTCAAACAACACGTCTATAAAATTCATGTATGTTCCAATATTTTGTTATACACACGCAATCCTACAGTTTCCTATGTTTTTTTTTAAAAAATTTTATCCTACATTTCAAAGAGACGCCCTCAAAGTTTACACCACTTGCAAATGGTATCTTGGCGACTTTTTCATCCGCGACGAATATCTGTAAGTGTGTGGTGCCGTCAAACTGAACTTTTATCGAGCCTGTGCCTTTCGAACCATCTAGAATTCTGAATTTTCACTCAAAGTGCACGCGTGAGCTCACGCTTGGATTGGATTACTTATCGTTGACAAGAACTAGTTCAATGCTAAATGCTAAGTACTACTACTTATCTATCTGTTCAGCACTGTCCATTCAGGTAGGATCTTGATTTAATTTAGACGCCAAAGCAAAGCTTCAGAGTCCAAGCAAGGCAACTGCTTGCATGATCTTTTTGTTCAAGTCAAAAGGAAGCACAAACCAGAGAAGTTCACAGCCCTCTCAGAATGCACTTGGAAGTTGAAACTAGCTATACATATATGTACATGCGTTCTTAGCTAATGTACATAGATTTTTCTGCCATGTTCCATCGATCTCTGAAGCTTGATCTCTTGAGCTTTCCACGAGCACGCATGTTATGGCCAAGAACTCGAACCGGATCGAGTCAGCTCTGCTCGATGATGATGATGCTTTTGATCAGACCATGCAAATGTCTGACACGGTTAATTACTTAAGTCGCTTAGCTTGGACCCCAGCAGCTGAGGTACATGACCATCCTAAGCGACTCCTCGGCGGCGGCCGCGGCCGCCGTCGCCGCCGACGAGGAGGGCCGGACGGCGAGCACCGAGGCGCCCCGCTTCGCCGCCGACGAGCACGGCTTTGCCACTTGCTCCTTGAGCTCAATGGCGGCGCCCAGCGTCACCGCCATGTACGCCTTGTTCACCAATACAAACCTCATCGTTTCTTGTTCTTGTTGTTAACCTCACGATCACTGAAGAAGCTACTATGTAATTAAGAACTTGTAGCTTGAGAGCTCAGAGAGTACTTGGCAATTGCTGTGAACTTGTGATGTGTAGATGGAGAAGTTATCAGTGAACTTACCTGTGCATGTTTATATATACAGTTGGTGTTCATGGGCCAACTTGGCACAGTGGCCAATGGTTTCTTGAGGCAGATGGGGAAAACAGGTGGCTGGCTAGACCATAGGTTCCTCCAAACCAGGAGCTCAGGGAGGTGAGAGTCCATGGTATAGCTCGAGGCCAATCTGGTTTGGATGTGGACTTCATCTTCATGGCTTGTCCTCTCTGCATTTCTGCAAGACTGCAACATCATCCAATTGATTGTGCCTGTGCCTGTCAATTCTCAATTGCATCACCGTTTTTAAGTCCCTGCAACTTTCAGCAAAAACTTTGGTTGGAGTAGTACCCCTCCTCCCTTGGCCCATATATTGCTTCACATTTACTGCAGTGTTTAATAGGAGGTTGGTGATTAGGGCTCTTTCATCTCTCTCTTTGATTTCCTGAAAATCATCATGGTCTGGAATTCTGGATAAGTTCTAACTTCCTGAACTCTAACCATGCTGATCTGGGACGTTTATCCAGTGCAATTTACACATGTGCAGCAACCTAGCTGAAACATTTTTTTTTGCTGCAAACTGCTTACCTGCATGTGCTACTGTTCCAGTGACAAATTAGCAGGACAGATACAGTAACCTTCAATAACATCAGCAGCGCCTGTCTCGCATATAATTGTGGACGTTCTGAACGCATATACTACAGATTACTAGTTAATTAAGTAGGACTAGTCGTTGGATCACCAATAAAATAAAGTGACAAGAGGTTGCAGTTAACCGCGTAGATCATCAGATCCAATGCAAAGTATTATACTATGGGTGTAGAGATCTTGAGAATCTCATCTTGGAGCGTCATCTTTGTAGCTTTCTGATCAGGCACTGCGTTTTGCTTCGCAAGTGGAGGTCGCCTTCAGGGAAATCGGTAAGGTTTAAGTGGTTTTTATAATGCGTTATTATAGAATTAACGATGGTGTTTGACATGATGAGGTGATTAAAGAAGTCGCAGAGTAGAAGTTGGTGCCATCTGTGAGTTGATAAGGACGTTGGGTAATTGTTTATTAGATCAGTTATCTTTTGACAGTGACTTGTTTACATTGGATAATTCTTTTATTCAGACTAAATTTGTCATTCAGTCACTCCAATGAGAAGCCGGTTGCTTTGTTTAGGGTAACAGAAGTGCTAACTGGACCGCTTAAGATCTTTACCTCGTGATAGTATTTCGTGGAAAATAGAATTTAGTAATATAAATAAATTGATTTACTTCGACTTGCAACCTTCGAGATGCGTAGACGCACAAGAAAACCTTTGCAAACGTCAGAATCAGGGTTCACAATTTCATTTGAATTTAGTAACCTAAATATTGGAGCTCCCTAAACCGCTCGGTCTTGTATCGAAATTCATTTGAAGTTCATCCAATGTTTGCGAAATTTGTAAACCTTAAAATAAAACAGGATCGGAAAAAAAAAACTTGACATTAAGGGAGATGCATCCTAAAGGCATGGCATTTGAGGTCAAGAAAAGGCCCCGAAAGCTGGATTCAGTTGCCCAAAAGCAGAATTGCAAAACTTGTCACAATGGTAATAAGACTATATAAGATGAATAGCTAATTATTTTTAGCTATTGACTAAATTACATGGGGGCATGGAAAGGCACTATAAAATGAACACAGATCACTGACAAACCAATACAAAACAGGTAGAAGCTGATGATAGAATGTGCCTTCCCCAACAATACAGAGGAAGGTGTGCTTGTGAACTTTATTGTTTTGACAAGCAGATTTTAGCACTAACACAAAAAATAGAACATATGTGCTATTAGTTACACATCAAGCACTGAAAATACGGGAGTTAGATTGTTCTTTGGCGACTGATTCTGCAAGCACACACTAGACTACCACACACTAGACTACCAACCACAAAATCTAGCAGTTTACAAGAATGCCACAGCACATTTCTGAAGCCATATTATAGGCATAGCTTCGGTAGAAGCAGAAGAAAGGCACAATTTACACTGAGTCAACCACTTCAACCTGTTGTTGTGCAAGATATCTTTCCCTTCGTTCTTTCTGTGATTAACACATGAAGGATTTTTCAGCAACGAGAAAACGAACAAATCATCGAAAGAGCCAGAGCCACATGACTTGAAGAGACATACCCATTCATCGATGACAAGCCCTTCGCCAACAATCTTTGGGCCATTCTCTTCAGGAGGTTTCTTTCTTGCCTCAAGTGCAGCCTCAGCCTCAGCCAACTGATTATTTAGCTTTTCCAGTTGCTTTGAAAGAAAATAAGATCATGAATGAGATATTATTGAACTTTCTATTCCGCTGAAAAAGTTATGCGTGCATATATAAATAGTTTTCTATTTGCTTACTGGGCCTGGATTTTCAACATTCAAAAAAACAACCCTCAGGATCTTCTCAACTACGGCTTGATCTCTCTGCTCATCAAACTGCAATAAACAAAATAAGTCATGCTTTGGTACATCAAATATAAATAGATGACTGATATCAGGAAGGAAGGTATACTAATATGCTAAAAACAAATGGAGTGGTGAAACATAAAAGTTCAGTGGGTTTCCTCAACCATATGGCATATGCATCACATTCAAACCATACCTTGGACAAGGACTGCTAGCATAAAAACTGTGTCCATCCAAGATCCAAACCAAAGCCACGGGATGCAGATCAGGATAAATGCACTAAAAATTGAAAGTAGTACATACGACCATGCATAGTTGCAGTAAAGATGGGCACCCTAACTCGTTGCTTTAGGGGAAAAAAACGTATACCAACTCTACTGAATCTCCCGGACCATCCTTCATATGTTATAGCATAAATATGACATGTGAAACATTGCAAAACAATAGAGACTAAGGATTTAATGTTAGAGTTGGACAGCACAATTACACAATTATAGTGAAGGAATCCAGTATTCCAGTTAACATCCTGGCATCCTTCTCCGCATGGGATTTATAGGTAGTAGGCTTGAACCTGGTTCATGTGTCCGTACAAGAGGCTTCATCACATGAGAAGGCAATTTTGTTCTGCTTTGGCATGACATTTTTTATTTATGATTGTTGCTTTCTATGGCTTATTACTTCTTTGTGACTTTATCTTATAGCTTGCTTTAAAGAGATGTACTCAATAACGAATTTTATTTAGGGAAGTTTCTGACATCTTTGCATTTTTTCTGTTGTAATATATACAAAAGGTCCTCACAAGAGCTATTAAATTTGACCTGGAATTCCACTTCTAGTTCAATGATCCCTTAAGGTTAGCTTGGATGTTAAATTCACTAATCATGAAGTCACAACCTATTGGTCAATTTGTTTTGTTCTGCCTCAGTGCCACCACAGAGGCATCAGGGAGCATGGGTTGTGCCCACTTCTAATACGACGTAATCTGAATTAATACACCTTGATCACAATCTTAACAACAATCCTTAGCACATTAAAGAGTCCATAATTACCGAACTTATTACCCAATTAAGCAGGCTAAGTGGCTAGCTTGGTCATTCTACCCCAGGTGTAATCTGGACACTGTTGAGAACTTGAGATCCACCAAGTGACTTCCCCACCTACACGCAGGCCATCACCTGCGGCTACAGTCCTGTCAGTCCCAGTCCTCACACCTCACCTCCAAGGTCTCTCCTATTTCTCTAGTTTTGCTACCTGTGGATCAAACACCGCTAAATGGGAATATAACATCACTGAAAATAGATAACATATGCAAGATTTTGCGGTAAGTCTAATTTCATCCTCTTAAAAGTATTTATATCTTTGGATCAATGCTGCCAATTAGAAAAATGCTTTCTGCATGACTTACTAGATAGAATGGACCAAAGTAAAAGTTTATAAGAAAAACAATAACTGACCATTTCTGGTGCGTAATCCATGGGTCCTTTGACCTTCAAGCTCAAAATCTTGAATTTAACCTTGCACTTCTGTAGAACATTCTCATTGTTCTCTGGGTGCTCGACAAACTTGAAAACTGTCAATCAAATGGAAACAGAAATAAGCACCAAACATAAAGCAAATCAGGAAGCCTTACTATTGTTCATGTAAAGAAGGTGATCAGATGTATTACCAGTTGCTATGATGGTCTCCCCAGGGGCAAGTATGGCTCCAGGAGGACGCATGAAGCAGCTCTTGGGTGCAGTTGTTTGGAACTAAAGATAAAATATCAGTTAACAGTCAGGTGCTTTCATTACCAATATAGTAGCTAGCATTAAACACTGCTGAAATCAAGCTGCAGATTTCAACCCAACTGCTGTAGAGTTAAAACTGTGGGAAGCATTACAAATGCAATCATACAAACCTTAAATGCTACATGAGACTTGCTTGTGTTCTTTATCCTGATTGCGCTCCTCACCTGTTGTCCTGGTTGATCTACAAGGAAAGTAGCAAACTTCTATTAGCAGGACAAACAATAAGGAAAGCAATTAATAAGCAAAACTGAAGTCCCCTTCTTTTTCTTTTTTATCTCTCCTGCTGCTGCTCATGGTAATAGGGAACTCTCTATTTAACGGGTAGGTGTTATCACACATAATAACATAAGGTTCGTCAAACTCCCTGCACCTCACCACAGAGCACACATATAGCAAATCGACAATATCCAGGGTCAAACCTACCCACTCCTTTGGCTATTCATTATCTGTCTTTCTGATCTGGTAACAGTAAAAACACAAAAACACCAAAGAAAGCATTTAGACCCCATCCCCCACCCCTAACACATATGCAAACAAAACAAAGAGGAACTTTTGGCTAAACGACCATCTTTGGATGTTTGCAAATTTATTAACCACCTTCTTAAAATGACAGATTTGCAAAGATATCGTAGTTTTCCATAACAGCCTTACACACATAGTAGCAAATCACGGAATGACAACACCACAGTACCAAATAGAACAAACAAATATTGTAGCTTGCAATGCTCTCAGGAAATAGTAGCAAATTGGTACAGTAAGTATATTTTGTTTCTTTCGGAGAAAGTAAGCATGCTTGTTTCTCAGTTTGATCATTAGTTCACTAAAGACTTGAGAATTGAACCCTGAACAGTCAACCAAAGCAAAATGGTGCATGAAGCTGACCCTGATCTCATGCATAGGAGTTTAACCTACTAAGTATCACATAACAGAAAACAATCGCCATACCTGACATACAGCCGCTGCTTACAGTCTTTCACCCATATAGGCTAGTGCAGTAAAATTGCACACAAACTAGCCTATCAGAATTCTACCTCAACTGCACAAGCATCATGGTATCTCTACCCAAGATCTCAGCTCCGGCACATTTCAGTCAGAGATTCTACTCAAGGAATTTCACACAGGTCTAGATCCAACTCCGAGATCGAGGGTATTGTACCTCCTGAGATAAGATCAAGAAACCCAGATGGGAAACGGAGCCGATAATGGCTACTGTTTCCTCTAGCCAACCGAAACGGAGCCCTAATGAGTACATTTTCTACTAAATTTAAGTAACCCCCATTAATCACTCCGTAAGATCGCGACTTCCTCCCACACACACACACATAAATTCCCACTCCTAAACAGCGGAGATCGAGCATAACAAGCCAAGATTAACAAACCCAGGCAAAGATCGCGGCTCCCCACTCTCCTCACGACCGCATCCCACAATTAAACCAAGAAGCACTCGAACCCAAGCCCCGAATTCCCCGCGCGCACTCACATGGGAAGTAGAGCTTGTTGGGCGGATCGAGCCGGAGGCGGCGGCGGGCCGGCAGCAGCGACTTGGCCACCGACGAGATCGACCCGGCCGGCGCGCCGTCCCCTGCCACGGCACCACCACCACCGCCCTCGTGGCCGTACCGCCCGGCGGAGTGGTGGTGGATCCCGGCCGACGACGAGGACGACGACGGCGGCGGCGGCGCCGACGCCGTCGCCGGCGCGCCGCCGGGCTGCCAGAAGGGCATGCGGCAGAGGTTCCAGAGCTTCCCCCCGCCGGAGTCGCCGCCACCGCCGGCCGCCGCGTACCTGTCCTCCCCGGAGATCGCCATGGGAGGAGGAGGAGGGAGTGGTGTGGTGGGGGGGGGGGGGGGGGTGTTTCTAAAGCGATGGTTCTTTCACCTCAGCTTTAGCAAACAGTAGTACATTCTGATATCACATCTTTTATCTCTTTCACTCGGTTGACTTTTTCATTTTTTTTTTTGCTGGCTTTTGTGCTGCTGCTGCTGCCTGCTGGTATAGTGAAACTAATCATGAAGCCCTCATGGGCTTGCAGTTCTACGTAGTTTTAGGGTGTGTTTAGTTCACGCTAAAATTAGAAGTTTGATTGAAATTGGAATGATTTGACGAAAAAGTTAGAAGTTTATATGTGTATGAAAATTTTGATGTGATGAAAAAGTTGAAAGTTTGAAGAAAAAGTTGGGAACTAAACAAGGGCTTACTATACTCTATTTGGGCTGTGTTTAGAAGATGTTGGGAGCTAATTTCTCGCGCACACAAAACGAAACGACTCATTAGCACGTGATTAATTAAGCATTAGATTTTTTAAAAAGGATTAATATGATTTTAAGCAACTTTCTATAGAGAAAATTTTATAAAATATACACCGTTTAGTAGTTTGATAAACATGCATGCGGAAAACGAGTGAGCTGAGTTGGTAACTACAGCTGCTGAACTCACCCTTGGGGTAGTAGGTGACAACAGTGCAGATTGTGGAGGTATTTCAGTATTCGTTTGGAGAACATGTAAAATATTGTTGTGTCATATATTAAGTAATGTAATATAAGATAAAGAAAACAACGGTATTTCTTGAGAAATATTTTGTTGTTAGTGTATAAATCTTTGACAGGGGTGACAAAATATGAAAGTCTTCCGAATTGGCATATGTGATATGCACAAGTAACTTAGACGGGCTAGAAGACCTATTTTTTCTCTATGGTGAATTGGCTTTCTTGCTCTTTACGAATGTGGGGCGCAGTTAAAGTTAAATAATAATATGAAAGCATTTATTAAATTGAAACCAGTTGATGACATATGGGCTCTTGAGAACTTTTTAAATTTTTGAACATTTTTATTTTTTTTTAATTTTAAAAATAAACTATTATAAGACTTATTTATAGATTATAGAATCTGAACCTTTTGCCCACATGAGCTCGCCTGACAAGGTAAAACAACACTAACACACCATACATAGCGGGTGTGACAGTTTTGTCCTGCCACACGCCCACACCAACAAGGATATCGTAGCTAAATAATGCTGCCACGCCAGCTAGACCAAATAAAGTTGCCACGACAGTCCGGCTAGAGTGCTCAAAAAGTTCAGATATTGAAAATAAGTTTTCGATCCTTTTGCTAAGTTTGGAACCGAGGCTTGTTTATTTAATTAGTATAGAAATGTTAGGCTTAATTCCAGGAGTATGCACAAGAGGCCTGGGTGTTCCGGGTGGACATCGGCATAACCCCAATCCCGAAACATCTAGGCCTCGCTTTGCAACGGGCTAGACAAACTATTGGCCATTTTATGGGTCCATGCAACCGTGAGTAAGTTGGAAGCAAGGATTAAGTAAAAACATGTGATTCAACGGATTTTTTTTAACCAAGCCGCTCGCTCTCTCTTTTTGGGGTTTTTTTTTTGGGAGGGGCACACTATAGTCTGCGCGCATGACGCGGGGAAGAATGACAAATGGACGATTGAGCGTTTAAATCATAGAGATGTACGAAAACATGAAAATGCATTTTTAGTATTTCTTTAACAAAACTAGCAAATACAGTGCCTGTGCATGGCAAACAAAAATATATTATAAGATCCAAAATAAAATAATAATCGTCCCAAAGAAAAAAGAAGCCTTGTTTAAAATCCTATGCACGATGAATTATATCCATTGCATATGCACATCTCCATAGAATGGAATTATTTAAAAACGCGTTGCAGGCACCACTACATATCTATCAATATAAAGCCATTAAAGATTCTCTAAAGCTAAAGTTGGACATAGATCACGTTCTACTCGACTGAAGAGTAGTTAGAAAGCATAAGATGAGAAAAACAGAAAAAAGACATTGAAGAGCATTCTAGTTCACTACCTAAGGGTGCAGACCGCAGGCCCAAATGCCAGAGGAGAAAAGGAAGGAACACGACTTTAATTCTCGGAGAAGCTGAAAGCCTGAAAGAATGACTTCCAAACTAAAACAAACCCAGCTCTCAAAAAGAACGTGAATAATATTGCTTCAAACGACTGACGCTAAAAAATGTCTGATGTGCTAAAGATTTAACCCTTAATTCTGCCCTTACATTTGCGCGCAATTTACAGAAGTAAATTCAGTATGCAAGCTCTCCGGTCTCTGATCTTTGAAGTGAATTACTGAGCGTTTCTCTTGCCTCTGTCAGATGAGATAACTGCCATCATCACTATCTTGCTGCAGCCGGCCGGTGATATCTGCACCGAAGTGAAGAACACAGTGAACGGTGGTGGAAGCCAAACTGAAGCCTCAGCTTTGCTGCTCACCTCGCTGGTTTCCGGCATCGGAGGATTTCCAACGCCGGCGTACGTCCGTGGGAGGAGACCATCCAACGGCAATGAGATGGTCGTCGGCCATGGCGGTCGGTGGCGGTGGGGGGCTAAAGGAAAGAGGGGTCCATTTGTCAAAATACATGGTCACTACCAATGACTGCGGTCTAATTTAGGGGCAATTTGTAAAATTTACTGTCGCCACCATTATTAGCGGAAGGCTCAGGAGTAGGTTACAAAGTTTACGAAATTTTGCAAAATTAAGAACTGCAACAATTAGATCAGGGGTACTATTTTACTGATTCACAAAATCCACGAGTTGGGACATGTCTGCGACTATGATTGATGTGGTGGACTGGTGGCATTCCAACTTCTCGTCTCACCGTAAATGTGACCATCTAATCATCTACTATCTCCATCCTAAAATAAACCAACTTCTGAAATTCAAACTTCATTCTAAAATAAATCAACTTCTACTTTCTCATACACTCTCGGTTTGCAAATCGAAAAATTTTTGTTCCTTCAATATCTCTTACCTACCTACTGTATCTACCAATACTAATTTGCTATTCTCTCCGTTTTAGGTTATAAAATTTTTTGAATAAGACGAATGGTCAAACATGTGAGAAAAAGTCAACGGCGTCATACGGAGGTAGTAAGATGTTTTGACTTTAGTCAAAGTCAAATTGCTTTAAGTTTGACCAAGTTTGTAGAAAAAATAGTAACATTTTTAACCTAAGATAAATTTATTATGAAAATATATTCAATTATTGATTTGATGGAACTAATTTAGTATTATAAATATTACTATATTTGCCTACAAACTTAGTTAAACTTAAAACATTTTGAATTTAACCAAAGTCAAAACGTCTTATAACCGAGTAAAATGGAGGGAGTATTAAACTATTAATAAGGTGTATTTTGATCTTTATCCTCTTTTTTAGTTTTGCATTGGGAAGGTAGGAGTTGCTTCTTTATGGGACAAAGGGAGTATGTCCAAATCATAGGCTCTTTGACGGCAATCTGGCATTTTGCAAGAAGGCGTGAACTTCCTGCAGGAAATTGGCTCCTTGGATAATTTGTCTAGCTATTTTCCACTAAAATTAGTTGCATACTTTGATCTTGGTTGTCTTTTTTATTTTTGACAATTGATTTTGGTTGTCTGAAATCATGGTAGAAAATGTAGAGAAGAGTTTATATATCATGATGCTCAAAGGAAAATTGCATGCTGAAATAGAACTATTTTACTGTACAAACTCATGTCTAAATCTTTACTACAGTCGAGATAAGATTAGTAGTACTTGTATTTTGTCCACGTTCTATGTATTGTTATCTCCAAAAAAAAAAAATAGTAGTAGGGGTGAATCTGGCAATGATTAAGAAGGGGCTTATCTTCTTCTTCCTTCTTCAGCCCACTACTCTTCTTCCCCCTTCTCTTCTTCCCCCTTCTCTTCATGGGGATTCAACAGAGTATCGACACCTACTTTGGATTCGTTCTTAGTAGTAGCAACTCATATCAAGGGACCATCATTATACCCATATTTGTTGTTAGGCTTACTTAAAAGACAACATATCCTATGCACACGGATGTGTAGCTGCACTCATACACACGTGCGTCCAAAGCCCTTCGATCAATATCCTACGGCTAAGTATCACAGTATGGCATTTTTTCAATTAACCGACCGCCTCCTCCACTAAGTTTTATAAGAAAACCCTCCACAATTCTCGTCTTCCCTCGAGCCGTCCATGTCGCCCCAAAAAATAAGAAAAGGAAACTCGCCCACGCACCGGCACAGCACTGGTGGAGGCGGCGATTTCGAGCGACAATCTGGTATTCAGAGCCGGCGGAGACAACGCATCGGCGGAGACGGCGACCTCAATCCATGGCGCACCAGCGGAGATGGCGATCTGGAGCGATGACATGCCCGCGGCGGAAGCGGCGATCTGGAGCGACGGTTTGTCTTTAGAGGTTGCCACTACTCTCGCCGTCACAGCGTTTATGCAGAAGCAGTAAAACTGAAACTGAGCTCAGCTGATGGGATTGGAGTTAGCTGTTGCTTTCTTCTCTCCGTATTAGTGAATCGTGTTTCATGTCTCCTTTTCTCTGATTGTTTTTGCTAGGGGCTCAGAGCAGATGTATCTTATTGTTTTCTTGTTCGCATGAGATTTAAGAGATCATCAATCATCAGTTCATCACCAGCTAACTATTTTAAATCTTTGTCCAATGTCAAATTAACGTTTTGGAAGAATCATGGGACTACATGGGAGATATTCTGCCATCAGCCCATCAGGTTCATGACAACTCCAGTTTTTTTTCTCAAACATGAACAAAATTGCTGCTACAGCGCAGGCAACGGCAGCCTCCGCATCCGCAGGCTTGTCGCCGCCTAGATCGCCATCCCCGCCGGCGCGAAGTCGATTGAGGTCACTGTCTCTGTTGATTTTTTTGTCGCTGCTGCCTCCAAATACGAACCGTTCCCTCCGCTGATATGCAGCGCTTTCTTGCGCTAGATTCAGATTAGTTGATTTTCTTTTTAGCAATATGGACTGCTTGAGGAAAGAGAGTTGTTGAGGGTTCTTTTACAATACTTAGTGGAGGAGGCGGGCGGTTAAATGA